CACTTCGTTCCTTCGGATACATCGGAGCTGACTTCGGTCCTCCTTGTATCATCACATGGACCTTCGGTCCCCCAACACACTTTGTGAGTCGCCCATCCGGCCTCCATCATATCACCCCTGGATTCCTCCATTCCTTGAGGACCTCCCTACCCACCAAAGCCTGGTCTTGGAACAGACCTTGCTCCGGACTTTCCACCACGACCCCCGGACCTCGACTCTTAGGGATTCCATGGAAGTCAAGACTGAAACTCTCCTCGAAGACCGCGTCTACATGACCTCTTCACTCACCTTTCAGCTCTTACTCGCCAGACGACTACCTATATCTGTGCGACCCAACCCTTCCCATTACCGCTTCCCTATTCCCGATTGAGTCCTTGCCATCTCCGTACCCGACTCCGCCCCTCCGAGTCTCCCCACTCTCCCTAGTTCCTACTGAAGTCCTGACGGACCTCACTCCTCCCGTCCTCCCTTCGTCGATCGAACACCATCCCCAAAATCCCGAGCTGGTCGTTGTAATTCTTCCTTGTTCCACTTCACCACGCTCCTCATGTTCCATCACCACCTTCGTCGGTATTGCAGCAGGTATATCCAGAGACCTATTCTAAGGCCTTCAAGGGTTCAGGCCTAAGAAGGGGATACTGTCATATCCGTGCATACCCGACCCCGACCCGACTTCCGGACCTCCACCCTCTTCACCTCTGGAGTCATAACCTACCGCTGCCTTTCCGATACTCACCTTCGGTCTTGGCAACACACCCCTCCTCTTACCTCTCCGACCCCTTCTCCGTCCGTTCCGATACTCATCTCGGACCGAACATCGCCCTACTCGCCACCCTTCCTACAACTCCGCTCCCCCCTCACCACACCTCCACCCTCCCGTCATCCCCTACGCTTTCTCCGTCCATTCCGATATCCACCTTCGGACCTGACTACTCTTCCTTACCTGTCCCCTCTCTCCTTCTTCCGTCACTCCTCCGCCACCCTTCCGCCAAGTTACGACCGTCCACCGCTGCTCCGTACTTCACACTCGGACACCGTTCGTACCTTACTCCGAGCCTCCGTCATAGTCCATACCTCGGACTTTGACTCCACCTCGGTCTTAGTCCATCGCATTGGTGACCTCATACTACGTGAACACCATTGCCAATATTCCTCGGACATCCAACCCCGCCTCCGTAACCTCCGTAAGCTCCGCAACCCCCGAGCTTCGCGGACCGCCTCCGGCACTCTCGCCGTTTGTAATGTATTTCTCGCAATTCCCCCTCATCCCTATTTGGACTACTGCTTCTTTCTATTCTAGCCAGTTAGTCATCACCCCCACTTCCCCTCATCCTCCTGCCCCTCTGGGCCTCGCCCACTCTACCTCCTTTCGGATGTATCACAGGTCTTGCCCTATGACCTTCGGTACCGCTCCGCTCCCTCTAACCCTTTGTTCCCATTCGGACGTCTTCGTTCCGATTCGGTCACCCTTTGTTCTCCTTGTGCTTTTGCCCCTTCCTTATATATATATATCGGCGCTTGTACATACTCGTCTGGTTTCAGTCTGAAATCGACCTGAAATGCCCCCAAGAGACTTCCTGCTCACCTACTGTGAAATTAAGGACCAAATGGACAAACAGCAATGGCACAGCGCTCCACTTGAGTCGCTGAGGCCAAGGTCCCTCCACGCTAAGTCTCCGATTCCACTCCGGAGTCGTCCGTTTCCGCCCATCTCTAACAATATGGCCATGTACCGTGATGCGCGCGCAACAGATTTCCCTATTCCAGAGGGAAAAATGTATCTTGGAGATGCTGGCTTTGGTGCATGCGATACCCTCCTAGTTCCTTATCGAAAGGAAAGGTATCATCTGCAAGAGTTTGGCCGGAGCCAACATCGGTTAGTTCAAGTTCATTTTCCATCAAGTATTCTCTCATACACTCAACCTCTGCTGTCCCCTTAGGCCACAAAATCATCGAGAGCTGTATAATCTTCGGCATGCCCAGCTCTGGAATGCTGTGGAGCGCATATTTGGTATCATAAAGAAGTGCTTTGCAATCCTCCAGCGTGCACCTTCATATTCCATGACCATTCAAGTCCGTATTCTCCCTGCACTTTGCTGTCTCCACAACTTCATCCGGTTCCATGATGCCGATGAGATTAACAATTTTGGCACAATGGACACAAACATTCCCTCACATCGTTTTGGGGAACTTCTGTTGGAGGAACCGTGTGCTATGGGAGGCCGGACGAGTTTCCGTACAGCCACATTCCCACATCCGAGCGAGGAACTTGCCCGGACAGCCACATTCCTGTGGTAGCGTGACTACTTGGTCACAACACCTTTTTCTTCTTATCTATTTTAGTCACTTCGGACTTATCCGCAAAGTCCACAAACTATATTCATTCATTTGGATTAGTTTCCTTTTTCCCTCAGTTCTCGTGCATTAGCTTGAGACTGAGGTTAGTTACAATATTCTTTTACTCTGATTTCTTATACATTGTAACTCATTGTATATTACCTTATAGCTTTAGCATTAGGTAATATTATAGTTCTCATGCATTAGCTTGAGACTGAGCTTTAGCATTAGAGCAAGCGGTTATTCCGTTAACTTCAACATGGTGTAATCACCAGGCAAGAGAGTAATCGCGCTGGTGGGGTCCGCGATAGTATAGCTCAGGCAATGTGGAATAGCTACCAACAATACTTGCTACTTCATTAATGCGTCTATTGTGATGAAATACTATCCTAGTTAGCCAAAAAATTTGGTGCCATCAGAGGGGCAATCTTCTTTTTGACCCAATTCTTTCGCAAACTATCGCGCTTGAGGCTGAGGTAAAAGTCTGCTGCATGAGGCTCTTCCTGAAGGACATTGAGAAGGGAAGTCAACTCATCATCATCCAGTTCATCCTCAATCTCTTGAGCATAGTTGGTGGCTTGAATTTTCCGCTGTGGAGTTGTAGGGGCTGTGGGAGAGGACTTGGAGGTGGAGCATGATGCAATGAAAGCCTTGGTAAAATCATTCATTGATTCTGCAAGTGCTGTGAAACCAAGTGCAGCATTTGAACGTGGGATTCCACGCTTTCGTTCAGGTACTTCAACTTTGACAACTTGCAGCACTGGTGATTCAAGAGGTGACTGAGTTGAGGAAAGAGAAGAGAGAGATGACAATTTGATGAGCTCGGAATCAACATTGCTCTCAAAGCCAAGATTGCGACGAGTTTGAGCCCGGTCAGGAGAAGGAGTATGGGTCCAGTCATTAATTTTGCCCTTATCCCGCAAAAATCTGAGTTGCAGCTTTGAAGAGGAGAGGAATTACCATACCTTTTGTTCATCATTGACTTCCCCATTCGAGGGCTCACCTGCATCATCATGCTCTGATATCCTCGTGGCACAGAATGCTTGGAGTCCATTTGCACGTCTGGGATTGATCTCATCCATCTCATCAAAGAGTGGCCACCCCTTATGACGAAAAGGAGCTGCCAGGGGCCACTCCTAGTAAATAGTATCATGAGTAGGAGTTTATCGGCAGCATGTGCAGCACGTACCACAATGAAATCAACCCAAAGTTGTTCCTCTTCAGGGCCCAGATCGGCACCATTCTCGCTACTCCACAGAAATCCCGACTGCTCTGAAAGACGTTTGACAGCCCAGTATATCTGTTTTAACTGCAAAGATATAGTCAGTATTCAAGCTTCCGTGTGTCAATGACTACTCATTAAGTGGATACTCACCTTGCCATACTTATTCTTGCAAGCAGTTGGCTTGAACACAGTCCCACATTCCTCATGTAAATGCGCAGAAGCTGAGTTCCAAACTTTGTCTTTGAACCCAATGTTTGAGGAGCCACCTGCACGCTTCACTTCAAGAAGGAAGTGGATGAGTTCGGCCTCCTCACGGGATTTCCAAACAGCACGTGAAGAAGGTGGGTCTGCAGTAGTGGATGTAGGTTCTCCTTTGGGAGCACGACGTCATTTGTTGTTGACGGGTGGGTCAGCTGTAGTGCCAGGATCGGGATCAGCTTGCTTCCGCTTCGGAGGCATTCTCGAAATGACATTTCGCAATTAATTTTACATGTAGGTTTTATAAAAAAAAAGAAGTGGTGAAGAACAGTAAAGAAACCGCGTACCGAACAGTTGCCAGTTTCTTCTCATTTCTTGATGAAAGCAAAAAGAAATCGGGAGAAGAAACGAGAATGATTCGGTCATCTTTTGAATTAAGAAACGAAAAGAAACGGGCGGAAGAAACCCGTTTCTTCAACCCGTACAGAGCCTAACTATTTGGTTGCCATTGCCTTTGGCAATGGGCACGCTACAAAGCTAGCACCAGCTGACAGTAACTTCCATAATTAGGAAATTAGCCCCTGCGTTTGAACAAAGTTCAGGACCACTATCTCCTACCATTTAGAACATCATTGACACCTATGATGGCGAAATATTGACCTCGAGAAATGATCTCGGAGTTTCCTTGCCCCTGGGACATCACTTAATCCATGGAGTTGCTCGTAAACGACCATCTTGCATTCGCGCAGCAGCCTCATCATGGACGACTGGAGTCCGTCTCGCAGCTTGTCTTCATCAAGGGTGAAGCAAAGTTTCTAAACCTCAACATGAGAAAGAGAAAAGGCTAGAATGAGGTGTACGAACGTCCTGGGCTTGGACGATCTGCAACAATTGGAAGATGGCTTCAATGAGAAGCTTATCATGCGTCATGACAACCATGGACCCCACTTCCACCACCAAGGCTGGCACCGGGGTCAGAACCACCCTCCTTTTTCTCGCCTTGCGGCGACCTCCAGCCAACGATCGGTTGTTCCGTCTTCTCACACCCAGACGTTGTAAATAGGTTCGACCAGCCTGGCGAGTGTCAATTGGGTGAGATAGTCTTCGTGGGCATGAAGATCTGCCTCGCCTCAGTCTCAAACGTATCACTGGGAGACTGGAATGCTAAGGACTCTGGCGGTGATATGCTTCCCGACTCATTGTAGAGATCCTGGGGGGAAAGAGAATCATATGAGGCGATAATTTGATGGATTCTTCGACGGGCCTCTGCTCCCAGATCAAGCCACCTTAACGTTCCGATAAGTTCGGCACTTTCGTCGAGACCGTATAGATACACTGCGATCACTGATGCAAAGAAATAACAATTCTCCTAGCGATTGAGACAATAAGATATGCGGTAAGAGGTTGTTACAAGTACCACACTCATACCGGCCACACTTTGTAGGATTTGGATGACTCTCTGAGTGCCTCGAGGACACGAAACAAGGCCATTAGCGAAGGCGGGACACGAAAAATGATCCTTGTCCTCTCGACACACTTCGTGCTCCCTAACAGAGTTGCGCTTTTCCCAGAGAGAGTCGCCTTGCCAACTGGGTCAGTAGCAATCAGTGCCATGGATAAGAATGGCGCTCACCACATCGTTTGCTTCCCATTTACTGGATATCAGTCTGCTGAGAGTGCCCGTTGGCCCTTTCCTCTCCAGACGCACCCAGAATTCTTCAGTAGGTTTCACTAGCCGTAAGAGCAGGAACTCGTGCTGAACACCACCCTCTTCTTTGTAAATGATCAATTCTTTGATGGGGGACAACTGGGCATCAGAAGTAGTCTCGACATAGGAACATATGACGGCGAGCGGTAACGGTATTTTCCTGGAAGAGTGAGGGACTTTTGACCAGATGGTCGATATTTTCGAAGCAACGCTTGCGATCGAACGCTTAGACACGATAGATATTCTGTCAGAGTCAATATCCGCCATGGAGGACAAGATCAAGGAGAAGCCCTGTGGGCGGGTTTGTTGCGAGCGCGAACGGACAGAGCGGACACGTGGAATTGGATCTGCAAGTAGACACACGGGAATTAAAGGCCAGTGAGATATGTAATATCGTTTCCCTACTTAATGAAAACCTGTACCTAATGGGGCAACCTCCAGCGAATGAAATGCATTGCAGAGGCATGTGTTTCTTTAGTGCATTGCGCGCGCGATGGTGATAACGGGTTAGAAACTCGAATGCGTCACACGGCTCTGCAGGGATTCCACAGAGTGCGGTTGCCGGGTCTAAGTTTGCATCCGACTTAAGCGCCGCGCGTCACGACCTCATCGCTACGCGTCTATACATAAGTCAATTTGCGTTTTAATGGCTCCAGCGCTGTTGTGGACATACTAGGCACCACACCAACACTTTTTCTCGCTTTTTCCGAGCGAAATTCATGCCTTACATACCTGCGCTTTGAACTCACCGCTACGCGTCTCTACATAAGTTAACTGCGTTTTAAGCGACTCTGGCGCTGTTGTGGACATACTAGGCACCACACAATCACTTTTTTTCGGCTTCTCTTCTCTGGTTAAAATTTGGACATTCTTCGAGTCTCTTTGGTCCGCAAACCACTGATTGATCAAGCTATGTGTCACATAGGTTATGTATTACATAGTTTTGTATGTATACTGGTAACATCCCTGACTACTATCACCCACTTACGGTTGCTGTTGTTATGTAGCTCTCAGCGGGGACACTCGGATAACGGGGAACAACCTCTTTGATATTGTAACCGCACAGCGGTATAAGTAGTTAAAGTAATAACACGGATATCAGACAAAAGTAATAAGAAAATGAGATACGCGACAGCGCTACATGTGGAAGGCAATCAACACTGAAACACGAAACACATGGTAAAGGGTATCATATCGGATAGCCGATATGGGCATGATATGCGTACCGGCGCGTCGTCATGTCTTGCTCAAACAACAGTTGCCCAGCAGGCCAGGTTGAATGTTAACATTCACATCATGGTCACAAGTCACGTGATTTTTAATTTTTTAATTTTTTGTTTTCTGTTGAGCTCACCGCTACGCGTGTTTACACTGCTACAAACACCACATCAGACTCGTACCCAGTTGTTTTCACTCTGTGGATGTGTGCATGACACTGCAATGTGGAAATGTGACTAAGTAGTTTTGTATTCAATGTAAAGTCACGTTCTGCTTTCAATACAAAGAGTCACATGCTGCTCCGAAAATTTGTGTAGACACTTTTTGCATGGGGAACCTTGTTGTAAATCCGGAGTTCCATATATGGCAACCCGCTTCAGTGGTTCACTCGCAACCCAGATGTAATATAGAAATGAGAAGAGAAACTGTAACTAACTAAAGAACATATGGTGCTAAAGCACCCATATTTATACTCCTGAATAACATTCCAGGCTCTTCTATGCCCAGCGCTTACGCAGGCGCCTAGTAACCTGTAGAATATTCTCGGATATTCCGGTTCAATCTAATCATGTGACTCATATTCCAACAAACCTCATGTGTTCCAGAATTGTTTTCTGAGAGGATTGCGTCGAATTTGGCAAATGCATAAGTGGACTGCCACTGCTAATGGTGTGAGGTGTTGCCACGTGGAGTAGCATGTGACTCTTTGTATTGAAAGCAGAACGTGACTTTACATTGAATACAAAACTACTTAGTCGCATTTCCACATTGCAGTGTTGCACACACGTCCACAGAGTGAAAACAACTGGGTACAAGTCTGATGTGGTGTTTTGTAAGGGGTTGGTGTAGGTGCCAACCCTGGTTAGCCTAGTTCCTCAGGCTGCCAACAAAAGTAACTTGTATGAAGTTATTATTTGCAACAGTATGGGAGGAAAGGCTAAGTTGCTCTTTCCACTTTCCCACACTATTGTATTTACTTTGTATATACATGTTTATTACAAGACAATTATACAATGATGTAATGGGAAATAAGGGGTGGGGTTACCACTCCTTACATGTTTGTAGCAGTGTAAACACATGTAGCGGTGAGCTCAACAGAAAACAAAAAATAAAAATAAAAATCACATGACTTGTGACCATGATGTGAATGTTAACATTCAACCTGGCCTGCTGGGCAACCGTAAGTGGGTGATAGTAGTCAGGGATGTTACCAGTATACATACAAAACTATGTAATACATAACCTATGTGACACATAGCTTGATCAATCAGTGGTTTGCAGACCAAAGAGACTTGAAGAATGTCCAAATTTTAACCAGAGAAGAGAAGCTGAAAAAAAGTGATTGTGTGGTGCCTATTTAAATTATGAACTAGTTGCATATAAGTGCTCAGTTCCAAGTACGTGAACTGATAAGATTGATAATCACCTAGTCACATATAAGCACTAGGGTAGTATGTACAATCATCAGAAAGACATACAGGACACAAAGAGATAGATATATCACCTCAGTTCCAAGTACATGAACTGAGGAGAGAAGAGGGAAAAATTGCGTGAGGCGGCTTTTAAGCCATCCTCGACTGCGTCCATCAACATGGTCACCATAAACGGTAGCATCAGGCAATCCTACAAGGAAATCTCTGTGCGCAAGAAATATAGTCCGTTGTATTCAATGGTTGGTCCACAGCATACCAAGAAAACAAGAATTTCAACAGTGCCTAGTATGTCCACAACAGCACCAGAGTCGCTTAAAATGCAGTTAACTTATGTAGAGACATGTAGTGGTGAGTTCAAAGTGCAGGTATGTAAGGCATGAATTTCACTCGGAAAAAGCGAGAAAAAGTGTTGGTGTGGTGCCTAGTATGTCCACAACAGTGCTGGAGCCATTAAAATGCAAATTGACTTATGTATATGTCAGGGACGCGTCCGGGGTCGAGAGGGCCCGGGGGTAATGCCCGGCACTGAGGCTGTCACGGGGTGTGGAGCGGGCATGCATACTGGCGGGCCCGATCTGGGACAATGGTCCCTGGCCACTCAGACTGAAGTGGGAACTGTGAGTTGTTATTAAAAGGGGAGGCTATGCTACTTACCTGAAGTGGGAACTGTGAGAAGAAGGTTACTTCTTCGGTTCCCACCCCAGGTACCTTTATGTACATGCGGCTTGGGTCACATGAGGTTTGCCACGTCACCCCGCATACAGCCGCAGTCATCCGGGTGTCCCCGTGGGGGATCCCAAGGGCATGTGCAGCACACGCGCGTGCTGGGTTGCACCATGAGGCCGTCTGGGTTGTCCGGGGCTGGGTGTGTCGTGCGCACATCGCGGGTGGGTCAGTAATACATAGGTATGGGGAAAGGTCGTCTGTGTAGATAAAGATAGAAGAAAGAACAAAGGAATAAAAGAACAAAAGGATAGAAAGAAGAACAGGAGTTGAGGAACCGTGATGAAGGGTGGGGAGTAGAGGTGAGCAGGATACTGGGTCAGGGCAGGTGGAGCTGGGTCAGGCGGGTGTGCCCTGACAGTATAGACGTGTAGCGATGAGGTCGTGATGTGTGGTGCTTGAGTCGGATGCAAACTTAGACCTGGCCCTGCTTGGCAACCATACACAGAGGGAATGATGCTGCATGTGGGGCCGCTTGCAACGAAGCAACACAACGGGGGGCTGCCTCTCGTGTTCTGGGGAATCCCTTACCTAACTCAGAGCAGTACACATGAGATACCAAGAGATGATTCCTCTGGTACATGAGTTTATGAATGCTTTCGTGCCTCACTCAACCCCACTAACACTGGAAATTCATAGGAGGCACATTCCACCGCCTATATCCACCCCCCAACGCTATGCCGAGTTCAGACCGTGCCTGCTTTCCGTCTGGTGGGTCACTCAGCTACTCATCACCATTCACTGTGTTGATTCACAATGTCCAATCTCACAGCCCAGAGCCACGCCATAAAATCATTAATGCGTAATTCCTCCATGCATGTGTGGTCCTTGTATATACATTACTGCATTCACTCGGTTAACTTAGATTCAAACCATGCGACCCTGCTGGGTGTTAAATACTAGGCAGGTTGTTGTTGTTGTTGTACTCTATTTTGTTACCCTGTGGCCGCATTTGTACGTGGCAGTGCGGCTAGCCCGGTTATTTACATCTGACTGTACATGAGGGGCTCGTCAATACAAGGTAGGTTATCTGGTTGGTGTGTGTAAGGAGTGGGAACCCCACCCCTTAATTCCTATCTTCATTCTATATATGTGTCATAATAAACATGTATAAACAATGTATATACAATAGCGTGGGAATTTGGGAAAAGGAAGAGAACTCCTTTTCCTCCCCATCATTGATAATTAAAGCTCCATACAGCTCAACTTTATTGATGACCTGAGGATTGAGGAGAACTGGGGTTGGAACCTACACCAACCCCTTACAGTGTGGTCAGGATGATGGGATCCTCCAGTTTGTGATGTCTGGGATTAAGCCATGTCTGGGTACATGTGGGGGTGTGGTGGTGTGTATGTCACTCCTCTCTCTCTCTACAGGTGGTTACTGGTTGTGTGCTCCTGTCCCCTGTTCCTGTCAGAGACCTGGTCAAGACGAAGGAGTGTCTCTGTGGCGGAGGGCTTCGGCCTCAGCGACTTGTGCCAGGAGCGCTGTGCCAAGTAACACGTCCGTGCCCTAACTTACAGAACTGGCAACCAGAACTGAAGGGGGTAAACTCTAGTCGATTTTATTACTGGAGTGTAACCTATGTACAAGTTGAGTATATATAGTTACCACGAGGGCAGGTCTGCAAATGGCAGAGCCGAGTGGAGCGGAGCTAACGGGGTTAGACATTAGCCGATTGAATATTACCGACAAGTCGGGTTATGGGGTTAATGGAAAGGTAGGCGATAACCCAGAAATGGAAAGGAGGGATAGGCCCGAAGGTGGGCTTTGCAGGGCAAGCAAGTGTATTGTCCAGCGGAGGTGGGAGTGCGCTAGCGGACGTTGGAGCTGTCCGGAAGCCTTCAGGGCTCTGTACTTAGGGAGGCATAGGTAATAAATTGAAAGGAGGGGGTGGTGACCATTGAGGGGTACCGAGGGGATTGCAGAATACGGGAGCTCCGAGGTTAGTGAAGAAGGAGCAGAAGTAGACCAGAGGGATCAGAGGGATCGGAAGTCGATGGCCAGGGATGGATATGACAGTTCCTCCGCTATGCATTGCTCTCTGTCCACTCTTTTTGTCGATGGCCTGCGACTTCTTAATGAAGGCTGCTAGTCTAAGAATGCCTTTGTGTCAGGGATCAGCAAT